CGCAGAAGTTACCGTTCGTTCATTCCTCGAAGCAAGGAACAAAGGTAACCACAGAGACAAACAGGGCAGGAAGTTTCCCTGTCCACATGGGGGACAGTTGCCTCCTAACACTGACTGGCACAGCTCATGTCAAGTGGTGGGCGCCAATCACTTCACAGCTCTTGACTTTGGCATCGTCACTTTCATCCTCCGGGTGGATCGAACTAGACAAGTACCTGGCTCCCAGCTATGGCAATGGTATTTTTATGCTGTAGCGCAGATTTCGCACCATTACAACTCGGTGTTCTTTTAAAAGACCCGTTTGAATGTCGAAGCAATGAACAAAGGAACGTGGCATGGAAGGTAGAGAGAGGTTCTTGCACCGCCAAGTGGCAGTATGTGATTGAGAGGCTTCCGGTCGGCACGCATGCTGCATCTAATCTTATCTGACAACCTCCACAATCTGATCTCCGGCAGTCATGGCAGACCTGAGTCGGCCAACTCTGCTTGAAATTGTTCTCTCCGATGCACCACAACCACCGCAACCAGTGAACGGGGCTCTTACATGCCACTTTACCCTCATATACCTCATCGGGTACCCAAATATCTATTTCTTGGACTACAGAGGCGGTCCTTTCAAATGACTTCGACTGTGCCTGAATTACCCACTTCTTCCATCCCGGTATTCACGACTGTCGCTGCATACCGGAAATGGAGGGCCCGTGCCTTCAAAACTGGGAAGTCTGTAGGCTTTGTACCTACTATGGGTGCTCTTCACGCGGGCCATTTGTCACTAGGTGTGTATACAATTCACTTCAATCTGATTCGGGAATTCATTTCAGTATTTCAAGTCCGCAGGTCCCTACAGGCAAATGACTTTACGGTAGTCTCTATTTTCGTGAATCCCGCGCAGTTTGCACCCCACGAAGATCTAGCAACGTACCCACGAACATTGCCCACAGACCTACAGCTTCTGGAGTCTACCGCAGGGGGTAGTCATAACGCGTCTCCTCTAGCTGTATTCGCGCCTACTGTCAACGAAATGTACCCATCTGGCATTGTCCAAAACGTTTCGGAGCAGAAAGGTGCATTTATCGAAGTCAAGGGCTTCAGCCATCAAATGGAGGGCCAGACGAGACCTACGTTCTTCAGAGGTGTTGCAACAGTTGTAACCAAACTGTTTAATATTATCCAGGTACGCACAAGCATGGATATTCTGCCAGCACAATTCACTGAACAAGAGACAGCCTGACCACGCCTATTTTGGACAAAAGGATATTCAACAGGCGTTCATCCTGAAGCGTCTCGTACGGGACTTGCTTTGCCCGCACCCCACTCCAGAGAACCTCCATATCATCCCCACCTCACGAGATCCCATTGACGGGCTTGCTCTCTCGTCGCGCAACGCCTACCTCTCAGCCCATGGTCGCAAGGTTGCACCGACCCTTCGACGCGCTCTACTTGCCGCCGAAAAAGTGTGGAAGGAAGGGGGATCCAAGGGCGAGTGTATTCAGGCCGCACACAGTCAAATTGCAGAAGCACAAGCAAGGGTGTCAACAGAAGGGCTCAGTGTGGACCTCAAGCTCGACTATATCGAGATGAACGATGCGGAAGATTTCAGTGTACTCGATGCAAGCGCGAGATCTACGGAGAGATTGGTTATCCTTAGCGGGGCTTTGTATGTGGATAAGACCCGACTGATAGACAACATCCTGTTGGGGGGTGAACATGGGGCTATAGACCCGTAGAACAGTGTAGGTCTGTTTGGTAAATACTGATGACACTAATATACTTAGACGAACCAGAATTAGAGGGTTTATTTGTATTCACCACCAGTGCTGATAGTAATTGCCTGCTAATTCGAACCCCTTCGAAAGGCTCTACACACAGGCTGGCAACGCAGCAAAGCCCCTGAATTATGCAATTTCAATTAAGCGCCGGTCTGAAAGCCGTGGGAGTGACGGTGACATTTGGCCACCACAAACCAGCACGACTTTCGCTCCTCACATCCTTTGACCGTCACCTCCATCACCTCCCTGGAAGCCCGTATGGCATCGAACACGACAACGAGCTCATCGTCAGAGTCGCCCGCCCCAACACCTCCTGTGGCACCTGTGCAGACTGCGGATTTGCCTGCATCACCCAATCCATGGAACGATGCTCAAGATGCAGAAACACCCAAACCTGAGGCGAGGCCCGTGGCAATACCGGAATCAGCATCCTACCAGCAGTCGATATTCGGAACTGGCAAGACTGGCTCATCACCAGCTTCGCCAGTCCCAAAGGCTGCGGTGGCAAAGGACATTCTGAGTGAATTCGATCCGCTGGCTAGCGTGGAAGAGTCAGCAGCAAGGGAGGCTTGGGGAGCTTCAGAGGGACATCCACCACCACCCAAGACCCCCACACCACCGCCTCGTACCCCATCTCCCCCAGTTCCTCCACCGAAAGGGAAGGAAGTCGAGGTTCAAAGCCCAGTGACTGATGCAACTACAACAACATCCCCTACATCATCATCGTCATTCCCGTCTCTCGCAGCACTAGCAAGGACATTTGCTCTCCCATTGGCGCGTCAGCGTCCGCAGTCTATCGACGCTGCGCGGTCCGTACCCTCCCCAGCGACGTTATCATCCTTTGCCAGTCAGCAAGATGCATCACGGCCGAGCAGCAACCCCAGAGCTGTCGACGCTCTTACTGTGTCTGACGCTCGGGCTGAAGCAGGGAGTGGAACTGCTTCGCCTTCTCCAAGTAACAAGACTGCAGAAGGTGCCTTCGACTTCCAGATCTTCTTGGACCAGATGAAGACCCGTTCGGCGGAGCCTGTGTCAAAGTATCTCAGATCGTGAGTCTCTCCCTACATGCTCTCCTAGTTTTCTTCGCTGCTGAAAGTACGCGTTGGACAGGTTCCTAAGTAACTTCTCAAAGAGAACTTTCACAGTCAACGATCAAGTCAAGATCATCAACGACTTTCTTTCGGTACGTGGGCTCGAAGCTCCTATTCTTCCCCTGGCTCAGTTTACATGCCCTAGTTCATTTCTGGTCAAATGCGGGAATGCGATATCTGGAGGAATGCCTCTGATGCAGAGTTTGACAACGCGATGGAGGGAATGGAGAAGTTGGTCATGAACCGGTTATATGACTTGTGAGTGCTGGCTATAGGTGTCGTGATAAGGTCAATCTAAGCCCTTTGTAGCACATTCACACCTCAACTTGCCAAATCGACACCTCCGCGACCAATCACCACAGATGACCTTGAGAAGGATAAGATTCTGGCTCAACGGATAGCATTGTTTGGATGGATCGAGGAGAAGCACCTTGACATCCCAGAAGGCGAAGGGAGCAAAGGCTTCCTCATGTTTGCCCAGCAAGGTGCATTGCATTTTCCTCTCTCCCCCTTGGTCGTATCCTAAATACAGACCTAGAGCTGCTGAAGATCAATCACTACAAAGCACCTCGAGATAAGCTGATATGCATCTTGAATTGCTGCAAAGTAATCTTTGGTGGGTCCGAACAAACATATCTCAGCCATTGTCGCTGACCCTGCCGCAGGTTTGATTAGACATTTGAAGGAAGAGGAAGGGGCGGACACATTTGTCCCCATCCTCATTTATGTGGTTCTCAAAGCCAATCCGGAACATCTCCTTTCGAATGTCGAATTCATCAGTCGATTCAGGAACCCATCGAAACTTCAGAGTGAGGCAGGATACTATTTGTCCAGTCTCATGGGAGCGGTATCCTTCATTGAGACGATGGACCACGCCTCGTTGTCGAACATCGACAAAGATGATTTCGAAAGGTACGAGGGACCGTGGTTTGCTAATCATGTCGCAGCGACTGACACCTGCCGCAGGAATGTAGAAGAAGCCATAAAGTCTCTGCCTGCGTCTATTCCTCAGTCCCCTGTCGTGCCTCCTCCACGTATTCCTGTAGTCACGACTCCTCCTTCACCGCATGCAGGGGAAGAGTCTGCCCGACCTCTCGCCATCCATACTCCCCAACAAACCCAAACAATAGGGGATGACGCGAAGCGCCTACTTCAGAAGACAGGGGATACGATCTCGAAGCCCTTGAATGCCATCTCGCGGATCTTTTCAGAAGCCATCGACGGGGCAGAGACGAAGTTGGCTTACCTTCCCGGACCTTTTGCGCCGTTTGAATTGGGTCGCGAGCAAAGGCAACAACAGCATCAGCAGCAGCTTCAACAACAGCAGGAGTCACCCGGATACCAACAACATTATCAACAACCACCTTATGGATACAGTCAGCCACCCTCTTCAGCACCTGTGTCTGGCCCAGGCTCTCAGTGGGGCCCGCAGTCGCCACAACACCAATTCCCGAATACGCCCCATTCAGCAGGTGCTCCTCAGACGCCGTATGGGGCTCAAGGGGATTACGGGGCGTCCCTGCAAACACCATACAAGCCTCGAACAAAGAGGCCGTACTCTCCTTCAGGGTATTCATCGCCAGGATGGGGCTCACCTGGACCAGACGATACCCCTTCTCGGCAAGGCCCCCACACGAATTCACCACTGGCCATGGGTCCCTCTCAGCCTCTCCTTCCGTCAAGAGTCAACTATCTATCGCAAGAGGGCCAGTCCTTGACCGGAGGCTCCATTTCACGGACGCCTACTCCGAGTCTGGATTATGCAGCCGTGCAGGCGCAGATCGACGCGTCCAATGCGTCGAGGGAAGAAGAGATGGCTGAGGCAAGGGCGCAGCTTTTGCAGATCTTCCCTGGCACAGATAGGGAGGTTGTTGATTGGGTCCTCGAAGCCAATGGGGGTGATCTAGGGAAGAGCATCGAAAGTTTGCTAGACATGAATAGTGGAGAGTAGTGTGCTTGGGCTATGTAGGGAATTTGACGTCGGGCTTTCTGATTCTACAATATGTGGTTATACTTAATGGACTATTGCGAATGGATAATGCAATGAGTGCAGTGAAATCCATATCTCACACCTTTGCTTCCCAAAACTAGTGCACGCTCTTTGCAGGTCATAATGCTGCGTTTTGAGACTCCTGCATCAACACTCATGGTGAAGTGGTTATCATGCTTGCCTTCCATTCTCCCTAATAGATAGGTAGCAAGCGGCACGGGTTCGATTCCCGTTGGGTGTATCTTTTGTTTTTCAACCTTCTGAATATCTTTTTGGTCGTGTATGGACCTAGGTTTCCTACGGAACGAGCAAATTTACATGGTTTGGCTCATGGATGTTTTAAATGGACGTGCAACTCCTCGATAGACAAAAGGTTTGACGTTGGCTGGACTGACCCACAGTACATCACCGAGTTCAAGCACAGCCAAGGCCTCTTCGAATACAGTAATTGCCTTATTGCAAACATTGGTCAGGAGCGAGTCCCAAGAGGGCATTGAGATACTTCCCCTCTCAGCATCCAGTGGAGCAGGCCTGAGGCTCAGTTCAACTGCTACTTCAGCAAACCCTTTATCCCTGGGTTGAGGCATCCCGGAAGTCTTAACAAACGCAGCCATTCCTCAACATACAACCATGCGAAAGAAATTGATTGAGATTCGCAAATGTATAGGTAACACAATATTCCTGGCAGCACTATAACTTGCCAATATCCTTTCTTTGTCGGTATCAAACCAGCTCCTAAACAATAACCTATGCGATGTGAGCAGGCAAAACGACCGACAATGGGGTAAGGTACTCACCGGCCACCCACTGGCGAAGGAAAGTCTGTTGATGCCCAACTTCTGCCCGGAGGAAGTGTAGTAGTCTGGATGAGAGTCGGGATTGGTCAGCGTCGCTTGAGTTGGAGGCTGAATGAAAACATACGAAAAACTATGACTGGGCCATCGGAGTCGGTGTACACATCCTGTCCTCCAGGCCCAACGACATTTCCGCGAGTCCCGAGTACCAGAGTTCCACCACCATTGGTCAACGCAACACCGTTCTGGTCGACGAACGGGCCTGTCACGCTGCTGGAGCGGCCCACGCGAATATTGTAGGTGGAATTGGTGCCATCGCAGCATCTATCCCATGAGACGAAGAGGTACCAATAATTGCCGTTCTTGTAGATGCTGGAGGCCTCAAGAGCACCTCCGTTCGCGGTTCGGGTGGCGATGGAGAGCATGGTGTTGGAGTTGGCCTTTCCAGTGCCTGGGTCGACACTGTGATGGGAACGGTAAGGATCCGGGAGGCTGAAGGCTGAAAGGAATACGTACGTGAACATCTTGATACCAGTCCAGTAACTACCGATAGTCAAGTACCAGCGGCCGTTATCGATGACGAGGCTGTTAAACATGTGTCAGAACACCAAAGTGAGGGACAGATACAACCATACTTGGGGTCGATGGCCTAGACGATTGTGTAAGCCCTGGAAGTTGGGATGGGGGAAAGTGCGTACATTGTAGTTGCTCGAGGGTGTGGTCGAAGTCACCAACCCCAAGTTGGACCAAGTACCAGAGTTACCAGAGGTAGATTTAGCCAGGAAGATGGCAGAATTGCGGGAGCCAAAGCTGGAGGCAGCGTAGTATAACTGTTCCTCATGAACTAAGGTCAGCTGGCAGGTGAGGGAAAGCTTACGATGAACTCGTTGCCGTTGTAGTAGCAATCGGGGGCCCAGATATCTCTGTCTCATTTGGTCAGTGATGTTCGTTCCTTCACCATAGCAAGAGTCATACCCGTCTCTTTTGCCAGTGTACTGATCGGTCCATGTCGCCTGTCCATTGGGAAAGACTTTGCCAGCATGGACCCAGTTCGTCCTGTCGGTGGACGTTCGGATGTCGATACCAGGAGCAGTGGCTGAACACCAGCGCAGTCAGCATGCAACTCGCATGTCGGATTTTCTGGTGTGAGACTTACAGAAGAGGTACCACTTCCCGTTCTTGTCCTTGCACATCGTGGGGTCATGCACTGCGATATCGCCCGTGACATAGCCAGGGCCAGGCTGGGCAAGGACGGCGGTCATCAACGAAGAGGCCAATGCCAACAGGGAGAATGTGAGCGCAATCATGGTGACCTGGAAGAAGAGGGTTTGGTCGCCTTGGGAGAGGAAGGCTCGCGGCGAAGCAATGGGCCTTTTATCCCTGCAGCTCGAGAAGAAACGAAGGAGCAGACTGCACACATTGTTCATGCACCTTTCCTTGCCGATGTTTTCCCCTGTCGGCTTCGGCGTCCTGGATGCAGTTGTGGTCAACCGGGAGCGGTTTGTAGATGGCGGCTATGGCATGTGAAGAAGGTTCCCTGAAGACCATGGGGCCTCATAGAGACTCCTCGTACGCCAGGACGAAGCGCAATCAGCAACCGGTGCATGTCGCGAGAATCAGTTGAAAGGGCTGTGGGATTATGCGTCGAGAACACTGGGGTCAGCAGATCCATTTTACCGTTTTGAACTCGTGGAAAGGTTCGACGCGGACCTTCATTCGAGGGGGAAATAGTCTTCTTAACTTCCCTTCTCTGGACCTTGACTAATACCCCTCCTCGGCAGGCCCTCACACAAACTCACAACTGGCCACGGGTCCCTCTCAGCCTCTCCTTCCCTCGCGAGTCAAACATCTATCACAGGAGGGCCAGGCTTTTGCAGAGGGTTCCATTTCATGGACCCCTACGCCCAGTCTGGATTATGTAGACGCAGGCGCAGATCGACGCATCGAATGCGTCGACGGAAGAAGAGATGGCCGATGCGCAGGCGCAGCTTGTGCAGATCTTCCCTGGAACAGATAGGGAAGTTGTCGATTGATACCAGAGGAATATAGGCCTTCAGCGATGCTCACCGAAAAGACTCTGAAATGCCCACAGGGTGGCCTGAAAGTCTTTTCGACACACACCCGCCGCATGCGGAGCTGATTGGTTGAGATTCGCAAAATGTCAAGGTAGCACAATATTCCTGGCAACACTGTAACTTGCCCATGTCCCTTGCCTATCAACATGAACCAGTTCCTAAACAACAACCTATGCGAGGTAGGTGAGCAGGCAAAACGACCGACAGAGGGTAAGATACTCACCGGCCAGCCACTGGCGAAGGAAAGCCTGTTGATGCCCAACTTCTGCCCGGAGGAAGTGTAGTAATCTGGATGAGGTTCAGTATGGGTCAGTGTCGCTTGAGTTGGAAGCTTAATAGAAAACGTACGGTAAACCAAGATCGGGCCATCGGAGTCAGTGTACACATCCTGTCCTCCAGGCCCAACGACGCTTCCGCGGGTTGCAAGTACAAGAGTTCCACCACCGTTGGTCATGGCGACATTGTTCTGGTCGACGAAGGGGCCTGTCACGCTGCTGGAGCGGCCCACGCGAATGTTGTAAGTAGAAGAGGTGCCAGAGCAGCATTTATCCCAGGAGACGAAAAGGTACCAATAGTTGCCGTTCTTGTAGATGCTGGAGGCTTCAAGAGCACCTCCGTTCGCGGGTCGACTAGCGATTGAGAGCATGGTGCTGGAGTTGGGCTTTCCAGTTCCTGGGTCGACACTGACGAGAGAGGTAAGGATCCAGGAAGCTGGAAGTTGGAAGGAATACGCACGTGAACATCTTGATACCAGTCCAGAAACTACCGATAGTCAAGTACCAGCGGCCGTTATCAATGACGAGGCTGCAATACATGTGTTAAGGCCATGAAGTGAGAACAAAAACTTACTTACTTGGGATCGATAGCCTAGACAGTTGTGTAAGCTCTGGAACTTGTGATGTAGGAAGATCTTACATTGTAGTTGTTCGCGCTCGTGGTTGAAGTCACCAGACCCAAGTTGGACCAAGTCCCAGAGTTACCAGAGGTGGATTTAGCCAGGAAGATGGCAGATTTCTGGGAGCCGAAGCTGGACGCCGAGTAGTAAAGCTGTAGAATTCCGGGTGAGCCACGATGAGGTAGCGTTTGAGGAGTCTTACAAGGAACTCGTTGCCGTTGTAGTAGCAGTCGGGAGCCCAGATGTTTCTGTTCAATTCAGTTAATCATAGTCTTTTCTTCACCATAACTAGAGTCATACCCATTGCGGGTACCAGTGTATGCATCGGTCCATGTCGCTTGTCCGTTGGGGAACACCTGGCCAGCATAGACCCAGTTTGTCCTGTCAGTAGACGTTCGGATGTCGATACCAGGAGCAGTAGCTGAGCACAAGCGCAGTCAGTATGCAACTCGCCTGTCAAAGTTCCTGGGGTGAAACTTACAGAAGAGGTACCACTTCCCGTTCTTGTCCTTGCACATCGTGGGGTCGTGCACTGCGATGTCGCCCGTGACGAGGCCAGGGCCAGCTTGGGCGAGGACGGTGGTCAACAACGAAGAGGCCAGTGCCAACAGGGAGAATGTGAGCGCAATCATGGTGACCTGAGAGAAAGGGGCTAGGTCGCCTTATGAAAGGCAGGCCAAGCAACGTTCCTTTTTATCCCTGCAGCTCGAGAAGAGACGAGGGAGCAGATTACACATATTGTGGATGCGTTTCTCCTTACCGATGTTTTCCCCTGTCGGCTTTGAGGTCCTGGGTGCAGTTGCAGTCAGGCGGGAGTTGTCCGGAGACGGTGGAGTGGCATGTGAGGAGGGTTTCTTTAGGGCCATGGGGCCTCACAGAGGTCCCTTGACGGAGCGCAATCAGCAACCGGTATGTGTCCTGAGGATTGGTTGACAGCATTGTGGGATTATTTGCGTAGAGAACACAGGATTCAACAGATCCATTTTACCGTTTTGACATCGTTGAAGAGCTGGACGCGGACCGCCATTTGAATGGGAAATGGACTCCTTAACTTGCCTGCTATGGGTCTTGATTGTTCGTACCGACCCGTTCGACAGCGTAGAGGGAGGTGTCTTTAGAGACGAGTGTATGACGAACGCCCACTGAGGGCATCGGTCGCCAGTGCTTCCTTAATCTTCCTTCGCGAGTTGAAGCAGCTAGAAAACAGCGTTAGGTTGTCAGAAGGCAGATGAGCACAGGTAGAGAAATACGCACCCAACTTACGGCCCGTCGAAGAAGACGACTCAACTCGTACGCACCGGATGGCTTGAAAAAGAAGTTCCAAACGTCACAACTACTAATGTACACTGAGCCAAGTACTATGGAATATCTATAAGCGAATAAAAGAAGAAGATGGAGGACTTAAGGTACCGAGAATCCCTGCTCCGCACAACTCAAATAAAGAAGGATACGTTGACGAATGGAACTTTGATGCTGC